TTGAGCTTGGCAGTGTGGCTCGGATGGCTCTTATGGGTACTTTCTTTGATTGACAGGGAGGGGCCAGGATGAATTTCAAAGAGAAACTCCTGTTTAATAAAACTTTAAAAACAGCTTTTGTTTTGAATTTTCCTCCAGCATAGGACACTATTTATAGTGGAGCTCAGGAACTAATTTATTTGTTTTTATTATGCTTAACCCCTTTGTTTGACATGATTTTACTCGAGTGTGCAAAACGAAAAGAAAAGCAGCATGCAAGAGCTTTTCACGCTGACACCGTAGTACCTGAGTTATCACAGAGTCCTCTGATTCAGGATACTCTGCAAGGAATGAGTCAAAATATACATATGGCCCTTGAAGATGGTAACATTCTAAGTGCTCATCCACAACAAGACAAAGCCTTGTTCAGAATAGAAATCATTGTGTTGCTTCATTCACTGAGATTACCATGCTCAAGAAAAAGTCAGCTTAATTCCCTGCCAAAAACCCAACCAAGCCTTCCTATACCTGCAGCCTCTTTGCTTCCCTCTTGAAAAACACAGGATAAAAGGGCAGTCCAGGCCAGAAAGATAGCTCAGAGGACTAAAGTGCCTGCTCAGGCAAGCTAAGGCAATTGCAGAGACTGCAGTTCGATCCTCCACACCACATGCTGCACAGGGCGGGCTGAGCTGGCCAGAGTCCAGGGGTAGTGGTGCATGCCTGTAATCCCAAAGTTGGGTAGGCTGAAAGCAAGAGCATCACAAGTCCAAGCTGCATAGTGAGACCCTGCAACAACCAAATACACTAAAAAGTAAATAAAATAAAATAAAGGGCAGCCCAGTGCTGCTGTGGTGTAGCAAAGTTCTGGAACCTGAGATGAATGCATCAGATGCCAGTGTGAAGAGGCAGAGGGTAGAGGCTGATGGCGCCCCACAATCTCTGCAGAAAGCAATACAGGAAGCTGGTGCTGGCACACTCCATATAAGGATCAGAAGATCCTTCTTTGGAGAAGGCATGGGGAAGCTCAGGGTGCTCAGGGCACAGCCAAAGTTTCATTTGAGTTGGGATCTGGAAGGAAGTGTGATGAGCAGGGGGAATGTGAAGAGTCTGTGATCCTGCAGGTTGTGAGCCCAGAGGGCATGAGGAGCAGCAGTTGCAGGCTGCACAAAGTGGTGGACTCTTCCTAGGGCCTGAGAGTACCGCCAAGGTGAAAGGTTGTGTAAAGCAGGACTCCTGTGGTGCTCCAGAGAGCCCGGAAATGGTCAGGGTGAGGTAATCTTGTCACTCCCTCAGAGAAGAATGGAAAGAAACTCTTAGTTCAGTGCTGTGGATGCTTCAGATTAAGCGCTCTCCCCTACTTTTGTCCCCAGAAGTGGGCTGCTTTATTACCACACCCAGTAAGATTGCTGCCAATTAAATGAGATAATATGTTGAAACAATTTCCATCTGGGTTTATTAAACTTATTTTTGAAAAAATATTTACCTAGAACCATGTTATGTAATACCCTCTGAAGACCTTGTCAAGAATAGAAATACGAATAGAAATGGTTACTTGGCTGCCAGTTTTATAAAACAAAAATGTATTTTGTTTACTGGGAATAAATTGGCGAAAGGATACTATTCAGGTAATCTATAATCTAAATCACAGCAAGGCAAAGCAAATGCAAACACCTCATTTTTTAAAGAAAAGATGCATTCCTGCTTTCCAGATCAACATGACAAAATTGGCCACATTATTGATTATCGTTTTGAAGATGATGGAATTAATTATGACTTTAAAAACTTATTTTCCATTTCTTGGAATATTAAAAGAAAAATGTGTAAATCAAATGCAAAATCTTTAAATACTTGCCTTGGTCTGATTATAGTATGAAGTAAATCAAGTGGCAATTTAATTCCCAATGACCATATGACAACTAGGGAGTTAAATATTAGATTTAAATAGGGGAGCTCATTCTCCACAAGAATTACATTTATGTCTTTATGTGGGCAGTCTACTTAATGAACATATTTCTCTTAGATTCAGGTGTAGAAACTAGAGCATGAGAAATTAATGTACATTCTTGTATCCATTAATATTGTTGCACATAGAGGAACGTTTTGATTTTTTTTACCCTGAAATTCCAGGGAATCACAGAGTCACTCATGGATTTAGACCACATGAATTATCAGGAGAAAATCTTACTAAAATGAAACTTTAATTACCTCCTGAAACTTCTATAAAGTTATACCTAAACAGTAATGATGTAGGGTGTGCACCAGGACAGAGTGTACAGAGTGGGTAAGTACACATTGGTAAAGTTCTTCTACAGATATTGTAAAGAGATCAAAGGAAAGAATTACTGCTATATACATAGACAACTCAAGGGCATTGCTTCCTACAAGGCACAAAATAGAGAAAATATATATAGCATGGTGTCTCTGATGCACATTCAAAAATGGAAGAGCTGGACTATTTCTTTCTAGGGATGTATCACTGGAAGCAAAATAATAATGGAAACAGTAGACACAAAATTTACAACAGTGACTGTCTGTTGGAGATGAGTAGGAAGTTAGATAAAATCAAGTAAGAATATAGCAAAACAGCATTGCTTGTTAAATATCATATCCTGGGTGTCTCTTGTACAAAAAAAAAATCAAAATTCAAAATCTTATACTTTTTGAGTACTGACATGATAACTTAAGAAAATTCCACACATGACCTCACATGACTTATAACAAAAGTCAGGCACACTTGGAGTACTGCATAACATTACCTTCAGGCTATATTGTACAAAGCATATAAAACATACATAAATTTTGTGTTCTGTGCATGAATTCTGAATTCTATTATTCCCAAGATGCCTCTCTCTATGTCTGTCTGTCTCTCTCTCCATA